GTAGATAGCCTTTTATATCTACTATATAATAATTGTTTTTGTGTGTAACCGTAACGTTAAGACTAAATATTTTTGTATTGTGCTACCTGTGTTACCTGTTAGTATGTTACATAGCGCGGGCTTAGCTACGTCACGCTTTTTTTTACATGTAACGATTGCGGGCTAACGGCTAGTCTTAATTAATAATACAATTTTAGTTTTTGGAAAATAATAATATCTAGGATATGTTCTTTATACGTCATGCGATTAGTTGATCAAATCTGTGTAAAGAACTTAATAATAATGCAACATACGACTTTCAATTTTCGCTTTCGGCACTTACAACGCATCAAAGTTGGAAGGGAAAAATTTGTTGTTGTTGCATTTGATGTTCGTGCGTACATATTACATAATTACATTACTGTCTCTTATACACATCTAGATGTGTATAAGAGACAGGAGTAACGAAGTTAGGAAAGTTCAAAAAAATTTTTTTTTTAAAGGGAGGACGTCAAAGTTAGAAAAATAAAAAATTTTTTATAAAGAGGAAATAGAAATAGAAAGAAGAATTTTTTTTTAAAAAAAAGAAGAGTGGGAATAAAAGAATAAAATCAAAAAAAATTTTTTTTTTAAAGGAGAGTGATGAAAAAAAAATTTTTAAAGTGAGGTACGAAAAAAAAAAATTTTTTTTTAAAAGGGGGGTGACGAAAAAAGAAGAAAAATTTAGAAAAAATAACAAAAATAAGACAAGAAAAAAGAGAAGGAAGGGAAAGACAGAAAGGAAGATCGGAAGATCAAACTCATCAAAGTAAGGGTTTATATAAAAACAAAAACGTATCATAACAGATAACAAAACAATAAACAATCACGTGATCTCGTGTTATGATACGAAAATTATTTTCTAAAAATATTAAGTTTAAAAATTCTCTATGTAATTAGTTATCCAGCTTCACATAAAATAAATAAATAAATAAATAAATAAAGTTTAAAAATTCCGTATACATTCCGTATGACCGTATACATTTCGTATACATTAGTTTTTTTAAAAAATGTTCAAAAATGAATTGCTTATTAAATATACGGGAATTTGTATACGGAATCTATAAAAACGTACATAAAAATGTATACAAAACGTATCCTTTCCGTATACATATTTCTTATAGGGACTCATTGCCACTTTTATTTGATCTCATAATAATTATTTTTTCGTCACTATTTATTAAAAAATATAAAATATTGTTATTGTTATTTATATAATAAAACTTACTCTAATATGTCAAATGTTTAGAGAATTACGCAATAAAATCCACTTTGTCGTTTCTAAATAGGTTAAAGAGCAACTTTCATTACGGAAACTTTACTGGGATACCTGTTATTCTTAAGTATGCTTTTTTGTGATTTTAAAATTTTGTAAATTATTTACTGTATATCAGATACACTTACTTATAATTAAAATATATTTTACTTGTGCCTTTTTTTATATAATTTTTATTTTTACCTTTACCTGGCCCACGGTCTTGATACCTTAAATAGAGATATTTTTTCATTGTAAATGTTTTAGATTAAGATTAATTGTGAAAATTTATTTTATTCTATAAAGAAATTCTAGGTAAAATGATGATTTATAGTTAGTCGATCATACCATAGCCTAATTATTTTGCTCATATCTGGCATGTTACGATTGTTACGTTACATGAAATCCATCTAATTAAAGGTATTGTAAATCACGTGATAATTTCTTATTGATCAACATGGCAAATCGGAATACAAATTTTCAGTACAATATAGACTTTGTAATACTAACGTAAGGGGGTAAAAATTTATATGTTTAGAAAGCCACGAACTTGAGCAACACTTTGCAACTTTAAAAAATTTTGTTGCATAAAAAACTTTTTGAAAAAACGTCGTATGAAGTTGCGAATGGGAATCTTTTTTTGCGAATGGGCAAATAAGGTTTTTATTGGTTTCCTATTTACTGGTGTCGACTCAACAAAAGAACTTGGTAACGCTTATAATACGTTTATAATATAATATAATTTAAATACTGAATAAATACTTTTTTAAAAGTGTTTATTGTTTTAACTTATTAGAAATACTTTTGTAAACCATTTCTTTACACTGTAGTTAGTTCTATATTTATTTTAAAATACCAAAGAACTATTTATTTAGTAAAATTAGCGTTAACTATTGAAATTTATTACTTTTTACGCGTCTAACGAATAAGAACATAAATTTTGTATTCTATGGTTAAATTAATAACAGTAATAATAGCTAATATTTCTATTATGATATGTAGATTGCTTATGCCACCGCCTGCACGGAAAGTATTGGCATACATATACTGTACTTCGCACGTACATCCTTCCACCTTTGCTTCTAAAGAATAAAGCAAACCCATCGTAATATCCGTGTAGATGATAATATGTTTATCATTTTAATATCTACAAATTAAATATAGTTCATTAGCATCAAATAAATAATTTCAAATAACTGTTAGCCACCATCATGTTCCTCACCTGTATATATTTATAAACCATGTTATTTTGAATTGATTCTATATTTCATTCTTTAAAAATTCAATTAGAACCATTTTTAAATATATTTCATTAAATGTTATGTCATTATTTACCTTATTTTTGTGAAAAAATTTCGTATTTTACGTTATATCTCATCTGATTTCGCTCCCTTTCCCTTTTTCAACTAAAAAATTTAACTCTGAATCAGTAATATTATTCCTTATCCCATTTAGTTAAAAAATTTTATTGATTTCACTTTCACGCGTATTTTATTGTTAAATTTAGTCTAGTTTCACACTCTCCCCTCTTTCATTAAAAAAAATTAAATTAGAATCATTTAATTTTATTCCCTACCTCATTTCTATAAACATTCCATTATTACTTTCTAGTTTCCACTTATTTTTACTAAATTTAGTTTCCTTTAATAATACTTCTTTGACTTGCTTAAACTTTATTTAAGGTTAGTTTGTTTTGGCTATTGGTCTTGGAAAGAACGTGTAGGGAATTGTTTAGCAGGAAGTATATAATCAAGTAATTTATTACAGCCATACAATTAACAAAATAACATCTTATTTATTGAAATAATATCGTCATTAGATACTGAAAGAACAATACTACGAATATTTTTTATTTTTTTTTAATAACTTGAGTTTTGAAAAATTTTTTTAATAATTTTGATATCAGTTACGTGTCATATTACTATACTGTATGTCAGCAAAAGAAAAACCCGCTTTAATACGTACCGAGTTTCTGGAACCTCATGTGATCAACAAAATTATTTACCACTGCGCACTTATGAAAAATGATCGGCATACACACTACCTTTAAACTTGACGAAATGTGCTCATCCCCTACGGGACCCACGACTTTTTTGTTATATTGTTACTACGTTTTTATTCTTACATCATCGAAATTTCCAAATATCTTTATAAATATCTAAATGTAAATTATAGACAAAATTACATAATAAAGATTTCACTTTCTTTGTGAGCTAATTGTCGCAACTAGTTCACTTAGGAACGTCGTGACAAATAGAGATCAGACCACTCAAAACAAGCGAACACACCTTTCCGAGAACACTTAACGCCATGATCTTTTATATTCACTGTAGCTACTTTTAATAAAAATAAAATAAATAAATATTTTATTCAATCTAATAAATCCCGTGTGGAATGTGGATACGTGCATCAACTGCATCATGTAAAAGTGCATAAAAATAAAATCAAAATTTCATTAATTTTATTTATAAACCTTTATTATTTTTATTTTCATATCAATTTATCAACATTTCTGATTTTATTTAAAAAAAAAAGAATTGTCAAATCTGAAAAAATTCTGAGAAAAATTCAAAAAAAAAGTTGATAAATCTAAGAAAAATTGAAAAAATAAAAAAACAAATTGATAAATCTGAGAAAATTGATAAGTCTGAGAAATTGAAAAATAAAAAAAATTGATAAATCTGAGAAAATTGAAAATAAAAAAAAATTGATAAATCTGAGAAAAATTGAAAAATAAAAAAAAATCGATAAATCTGAGAAAATTGAAAATAAAAAAAAAATCGATAAATCTGAGAAAAATTGAAAAATAAAAAAAAAATTGATAAATCTGAGAAAAAAGTGAAAAATGATAAATCTGAGAAAAATTGAAAAATAAAAATGATAAATCTGAGAAAAACTGAAAAAAATAAAGAGAAAAATTGAAAGAATAAAAAAATTGGCATAATCAAAGTAAAAGCCAAAAGGCATAATCATGTAAAACTAAAAATTGTGCATAATCAAACATAATCGTGTAAAACAAAAAGTTGGCAAAATATAAATCATAGTATTCTACTAAGACCATTCATGTGCATTATTAACAAAACCTGAAAAAAGAAGATTCTTCCGTTCGTAGTACAACGAAACGCTGCGCCACAAATTTTTGGAAGTCTTTTATTTGTTCGGGTTTTAAATTCATGTAATTCGAAAATTTCAAGTTGGAACTTTAATATAGCTAATATAGCTGATTATTGGACGGATTATTGGACATTTTGCGGTGCCTAGCATCTTGAATTTAATTGAAACGTTGTTAAATTTCGTAAGATTTGTTAATTTTGTAGGATTTGTTATTGATATTTATTGATATTAGGCTTGAATTTATATCAATACTTTATGTTTTCATTGTACTCGATTTGTTAAATTTTGTCATACATGCTTCAATGGTTTCATGCAGGCGCATGACATTTCAACAAAGAATTCGATTATAGAATTCTCTAAATGATTTCTTTCAAATACGGATTCTAGAATTTTTTAACTTCTAAGAAAAATAACAAAGTTAACCTTTTATATAATGATTGATAAAATGGTAATACAATTTTTTTCTAATTATGTTAAATTAGAAAATATTTTATTTAATTATTTATTTATCACCGTAAATGATGAACTTTATTTTAAAAGCAAGTTTTATTTGTACAAGATATATTGTTTGATTTTTTTTCTTTTTTAAGTGTTTATTTTTTGATTGTGTTGTCAAATGACACTGAAATGACATTGAAATGACATCAAATGATATTAAATGACATCGATTTACTATGAAAAAGTATGAGAAATGATAAATGTCATTTGAAAAATGGGCAAATTACGTGGCAATTTAACAACACTGCTTTAAATCATTACGAATTTACGATATTTCACATCATGAAGTTTATGGAATTAAATGAAATATAGACAGCAATAAGTTTAGGGTCACAATTTTAACGCTTGAAGTTCTGAACTTTTTTCCAAAGAGAATTAAAGTTTTTATCCGTGAATTAAAAATTTTATCATGCGATTTGTGATTTATTACCATCATTGTAAAGATCTCACAAAAAAAATAATTAATAAAGAGCAAAAAATTTGAAATACATGGAATTTCGTTCAACTTTTTTCTAAAAGTTCGATATTTATGCTTACGCATAATTCAGTGATATAAATTTGTCATAACGTGACGCTGCAACGTAAACGGAGCGATAATAGGTTTCGACGCTCCGAACAATTGAAAAGTATATCGAAACTTTAATTCGAGTGTGATTTTATTTTTTTTTTTCTTCCTTATAATGTAATGATAAATTAATGAATATAAGGTGTAACCAATACGATAAAATTTTACATATAAATCAAATCGTTTACGAATTTTTCTTTGATAATTATAAAAATTGTGTTGCAAAGAAATCGTTGTTAACAAAAAAAAATGGAAGTTTTTTAATACCATCAAGAATTTTCTCTATTTAAAATTCTGAACAGCTCCACAGTCCACACTACATACCGAAGTTGGTGTAATAGTAAATAACAGAATTCCAGACCTTCTTAATAGAAGGCAAAAAAAAAAATTTTATTTTTTTGCAGAATTCTATAGAATCATTCTACGTTGATCTTAACCAAGTAAAGTTATTTCGGGGGCGTATAAGTTTTGTTTATCTGTTTCTTTCAACTTTTTCCTTTTTGAATGATTCTCTGAATTTTGTGGTTTGAGCTACGGTTCCTAAATTGGTGTAACACAATACAAGAATCATATTAGTAATCCAGGTACATATATAACATATGTGATCACGTGACAAAATTTAAAACATAATTGGTAAAATATTTCTGGTGAAAAATTAAACGTATTTCGTAAAAATATCGTCGTCGTAAATTTAAAACGTAACTCATAAAAATATCTCTGACCGTAAATTTAAATCGAACTTAAAAAAAAAATACCACATTTTTTTACCCCCAGAATTCACGCACCAGATTAGGGATGTCTTCCTCCAGTCGGTCAGCAGGTCCCCCGTAGCCTCAGTATCTGGTATCGTTCCCACTTGACTAAGTATTGACGAGACTTTTCCGTTCGTAATACAACGATATTAAAGTATACCGCTGCGCCACAAATTTTTGGAAGTGTCTATCCATTGAAAAGAAAAGCCAAAAGGTAAAGATAACATAGACTATGAATTCAATAAAGGGATTAACAACTCACCTATTTAGATTTATGTTACATAGCACTCGATTTACATACAATTTTATCATACATGATTGCATGCTTCATTCGTTTCAGACGTTTCATGCAGACGCACGACATTTCAACAAAGAGTTCGGCTATAGAATTCCTTGATTTCTAATTCAGATTCTAGAATTTTTGACATTTTCTTCAAGAAAATGTAACGTAGATAGCCTTTTATATCTACTATATAATAATTGTTTTTGTGTGTAACCGTAACGTTAAGACTAAATATTTTTGTATTGTGCTACCTGTGTTACCTGTTAGTATGTTACATAGCGCGGGCTTAGCTACGTCACGCTTTTTTTTACATGTAACGATTGCGGGCTAACGGCTAGTCTTAATTAATAATACAATTTTAGTTTTTGGAAAATAATAATATCTAGGATATGTTCTTTATACGTCATGCGATTAGTTGATCAAATCTGTGTAAAGAACTTAATAATAATGCAACATACGACTTTCAATTTTCGCTTTCGGCACTTACAACGCATCAAAGTTGGAAGGGAAAAATTTGTTGTTGTTGCATTTGATGTTCGTGCGTACATATTACATAATTACATTATAAAAACACTTAATTTGACCGGTCGGGAATAATTTTTCCGAATTCCGAAACCAAAATACGATATAAATATAGCATCCTTTTTTTTTTAATTCTCAAGATGGAGCCTGCAAATAAAAATAGCAATAATTATTTTGGCCCAACTCCAAAATTAAAATCTAGCCCTAAACCAATTTTATTTATTTCATTTAACAATGAAAAAAACAAATGTAATTGTGGACATAAGTATTCTCTTACGCTTATATATAAACAAAAATATTGTAATAAATGTTTATTAACGTATATTAAAGACACAACAAAAAATAATGATAATAGTATATACTTGGATGTGCACCTGTTCGCGAATTTTGATAAATGTAATCATAAACATATAGCAACTAGTCCAAAAATTCAAGAGTGGTGTGAAGGTTGCTTTGAGATTTCCCATTTTAATAATTATCATGATCATCTTAATACTTCAAAACAATATAAAGTAACAGTAAAAGATTGTAACCTATGTGGAAAATTGGTTTATCATCAGACTTCTTCCGAGTTAAGAATGTGTTCGGATTGTTACTTAATTTCTTCTGGGTGGATAGAATCAACTTTTACTAATAAGTCTATTCCAATTCTTTACTTACCATGGTGGGACGCTTCCAGTAAAAGTAGAATTTGTAATCATAACCTAAAATTTGTTAATGATTGTCAAAAATGGTGTTCAGATTGCTTCATAGTTTATATTGGATGTAGATATTGTTTGACAACAAATATTATTTTTGGAATTACAGAACAAACTCAATGTAAAAAGTGTAAAAGAGTATCAAAAATAGATATTGACGTTAAAAATATTAGCAGTGGAAATCACAATATAGATGAATTTATTGTCTCAACTAGAACCAATATTGATAATCATGAAAAGATCGCTAATTATATGAATAATATGAATAAAAGTTCCGATCCTTTGAATGTATATAGTTTTATTGAACGAGATCTTAAAAATGTTAATTCAAAACGAACAATGGAATGGATTCCATATTCTCAAATTAAAAGTTTAGAAAAAATAGCAGAAGGGGGATTTGGTATTATTTATAAAGCAACTTGGTTTAAAACTCATGTTGCCGTAAAAAAATTTTTAACATCGCGTAATATAAGTAATTTTTTAAATGAGGTAATGATTATTTATAATATTTATGTAATTACATTTTAATTATTAAATCGAATCTATTATTCTAGGTGAAATCACTCCACCGATGTTGTGATACGGTTTTCATTGTTAAATATTATGGTATTACACAAGATCCTGTAGAAAAAGATTATATGTTAATAATGGAATATGCGAGTGGTGGAAATTTACATAATTATTTAAAAGAAAAGTTTACAAATATTAAGTGGATCACAAAATTAGCTATTTTGTGTCAAATTTCAGATGGGTATTTATTTTTTTATTGCTATTACTATTTTTATATGAAATGATATTAATCTATTTGTATTTTTTATTCTAGACTTAAGACTATTCATCATGAAAATTTTATACATCGAGATATTCATAGTGGAAATATATTATCATTAAAAAATGATCACAAAAAGTGGGTAATTGGTGATCTAGGATTATCTCAACCAGCAGATAATTCATCGAATAATGAAATATATGGAGTAATACCTTATGTCGCACCAGAAATATTTCAAGGTGGTGTATTTTCGAAAGAGTCTGACATATATAGTCTAGGTATCGTTATGTGGGAATTAGCAACAGGTTGTAAACCATTTTCTAAAGTTGAACATAATACTGCACTTATTTTGCGAATTATTGATGGAAAAAGGCCTATAGTTACAAATGATACTCCCGAGTGTTATTCTAATTTAATGAAAAGATGTTGGACTTCTGATCCTTTAAAAAGACCATCCATAACAAAAATTAAAGATATCGTTTATGATTGGTACAAAAAAAGTGGTGGAATATTTTATGAGGCTGAAAAAAAACGACTAGAATTAATACAATCAAAACAACTTGAACCCGAAAAATCGCATCCTGGCGCTATTTATACTAGTAGACCTTTAAATTCTTATATCTCTCAATCTTCATCTGTAAATTCAACAATTTCAGAGCAAGGTATGTGTTATATAATTTGTTAAAGAAAAGTTGTTATTATATATAAACAAATTAAGCTGATTTTCTAATTTTGAATAATTTTATTTTTATGGAATTTACTTCGGAATATAAATTTGATATAGACAATACTCGAAGGTAATAATTTATAATTTCGAAAATTTATATTCTTGAATTTAATTATTAATTTATTTATTTTTATAGTAAACTTATTTCTAAATCTTTGAAATCCTCTTTGCTTAAAGTTAAAGGTACTTATTATTGTTTAAAAAAATTCTTATTAAATATTAAGTTTCTTTCTATTTCTTAGGTAATATCTCAAACGATTTAGATTTTGATATAGACATGGACGATACTCGAAGGTAATAATTTATAATTTCGAAAATTCATATTCTTGAATTTAATTATTAATTCATTATTTTTATAGTAAACTTATTTCTCTGTCTTTGAAATCTTCTTCGCTTAAAGGTATTTATTGTATGATTTAAAAAAATTCTTATTAAATATTAAGTTTCTTTCTATTTCTTAGATTATATTTCAAACGATTTAGATTTTGATATAGACATGAAAGACAATATTCAAAGGTAATGATACATGATTTTGGAAAATTTAGATTATTGAATTGAATTATTAATTTATTTTATTTTTATAGTAAACTTATTTCTAAATCCTTGAGATCCTCTTCGCTTAAAGGTATTTATTATATTGCTTAAAAATTTTTACTAAATATTAAATTTCTTTCTATTCTTAGGATATGTTTCAAATGATTTAGATTTTGATATAGATATAAATATTCAAAGGTTAATATAATATCAAGATCAAATATTATATATTTTTAGTATTGAATCATTTATTAATAATAACAACATATTATTGATATTTTAGACCATCTTCCATAATTAAGAATGTTTCACATTTAGATGCAATTTATACTAGTAGGCCATTAAGTGCACTTATTTCAAACATAAGAAAAGATATTATAAATAACAGTGAGTAAATTATTATAATTGCATATAAAGTATACAAAGTATAATTACTGGCTTATTTATGACAACTTTTTATAGATAAACTTATTTACTGGTATGAAAAAGCAGCAGAAAATGGAAATGAAGAAGCACTATTTAATCTTGGATATTGTTATGAAAAAGGGATTGGAACTGAAGTTAATGAAATAAAAGCATTTGAATTATACAAATTAGCAGCAGAAAAAGGATATATTATTGCACAAAGTAATCTTGGAATTTTATATCAATATGGTAAAGGAACAAAAATAGATTTAGACAAAGCTATTTATTGGTATGATAAAGCAGCAGAAAATGGAAATGAAGAAGCACTATTTAATCTTGGATATTGTTATGAAAAAGGAATTGGAACTGAAATTAATGAATCAAAAGCATTTGAATTATATAAATCAGCAGCAGAAAAAGAATATATTATTGCACAAAGTAATCTTGGAATTTCATATCAATATGGTAAAGGCATAAAAATGGATTTATACAAAGCTATTTATTGGTATAATAAAGCAGCAGAAAATGGCAATAAAGAAGCACTATTTAATCTTGGATATTGTTATGAAAAAGGAATTGGAACTGAAGTTAATGAATTAAAAGCATTTGAATTATATAAATCAGCAGCAGAAAAAGGACATATTATTGCACAAAATAATCTTGGATATTGTTATAATAAAGGAATTGGAACTGAAGTTAATAAATCAAAAGCATTTGAATTACATAAATTAGCAGCAGAAAGTGGTGATGAAGTAGTACTATTTAATCTTGGATATTGTTATGAAAAAGGAATTGGAACTGAAGTTAATGAATTAAAAGCATTTGAATTATATAAATCAGCAGTAGAAAAAGGACATATCATTGCACAAAATAATCTTGGGTATTGTTATAAAAAAGGAATCGGAACTGAAGTTAATGAATTAAAAGCATTTGAACTACATAAATTAGCAGCAGAAAGTGGTGATGAAGTAACACTATCTAATCTTGGATATTGTTATGAAAAAGGAATTGGAACTGAAGTTAATGAATCAAAAGCATTTAAATTATATAATTCAGCAGCAGAAAAAGGATATATTATTGCACAAAATAATCTTGGAATTTCATACCAATATGGTAAGGGAACAAAAATGAATTTAGACAAAGCCATTTATTGGTATAATAAAGCAGCAGAAAATGGCAATAAAGAAGCACTATTTAATCTTGGATATTGTAATGAAAAAGGAATTGGAACTGAAGTTAATGAATCAAAAGCATTTGAATTATATAAATCAGCAGCAGAAAAAGGACATATTATTGCACAAAATAATCTTGGAATTTCATACCAATATGGTAAGGGAACAAAAATGAATTTAGACAAAGCCATTTATTGGTATAATAAAGCAGCAGAAAATGGAAATAAAGAAGCACTATTTAATCTTGGATATTGTAATGAAAAAGGAATTGGAACTAAAGTCAATGAAACAAAAGCATTTGAATTATATAAATTAGCAGTAGAAAAAGGACATATTATTGCACAAAATAATCTTGGATATTGTTATGAAAAAGGAATTGGAACTGAAGTTAATGAATTAAAAGCATTTGAATTATATAAATTAGCAGCAGAAAATGGACATATTACTGCACAAAATAATCTTGGTTATTCATATCAGCATGGTGAAGGAATAGAAAAGAATTTAAATAAAGCTATTTATTGGTATAATAAAGCAGCAGAAATTGGTAATGAAGTAGCACTATTTAATCTTGGATATTGTTATAAAAAAGGAATTGGAACTGAAGTTAATAAATCAAAAGCATTTGAATTATATAAATTAGCAGCAGAAAGTGGAAATGAAAAAGCACTATTTAATCTTGGATATTGTTATGAAAAAGGAATTGGAACTAAAGTTAATGAGACAAAAGCATTTAAATTATATAAATTAGCAGCAGAAAAAAGATATATTATTGCACAAAATAATCTTGGATATTGTTATGAAGAAGGAATTGGAACTGAAGTTAATGAAATAAAAGCATTTGAATTATATAAATTAGCAGCAGAAAATGGACATATTACTGCACAAAATAATCTTGGATATGCATATCAGCATGGTAAAGGAATAGAAAAGGATTTAAATAAAGCTATTTATTGGTATAATAAAGCAGCAGAAAATGGACATATTACTGCACAATTTAATCTTGGATATTGCTATGAAAAAGGAATTGGTACTGAAGCTAATGAAACAAAAGCATTTGAATTATATAAATCATCAGCAGATAAGGGACATATTGTTGCACAAAATAATCTTGGATATTTATATGATTGTGGTAAAGGAATAAAAATGGATTTAGACAAAGCTTTTTATTGGTATAATAAAGCAGCAGAAAATGGAATTAAAGAAGCACAATTTAATCTTGGATGTTGTTATGATAAAGGAATTGGAACTGAAGTTAATAAATCAAAAGCATTTGAATTATATAAATTAGCAGCAGAAAATGGACATATTACTGCACAAAATAATCTTGGTTATTCATATCAGCATGGTGAAGGAATAGAAAAGAATTTAAATAAAGCTATTTATTGGTATAATAAAGCAGCAGAAATTGGTAATGAAGTAGCACTATTTAATCTTGGATATTGTTATGAAAAAGGAATTGGAACTAAAGTTAATAAGACAAAAGCATTTGAATTATATAAATTAGCAGAAGAAAAAGGATATATTATTGCACAAAATAATCTTGGATATTGTTATGAAGAAGGAATTGGAACTGAAGTTAATGAAATAAAAGCATTAGAATTATATAAATTAGCAGCAGAAAATGAACATATTACTGCACAAAATAATTTGGATATGCATATCAGCATGGTAAAGGAATAGAAAAGGATTTAAATAAAGCTATTTATCATTAGAAGTTTAAATAGGGTGTGAATTTGCGAAACTATACACATATAAAACAACATGTTGAATCACTCCTATGACGGGTGCTGCAAATTTGCGAATATTATTTAATAATGAAAATTCTTGCAACAAAAAATTCCATATTTTTTAATAAAATTAATTTCAATTTATTTTACATACCTTGAGAACCAAACCAAATACCTTATCACTAATATACCATAGCTTACGACCTAACCACTATACTATTTAAATTTTTTTTTAATTTTATATATTATATTTTATATTTAGTATTCTAATTTATATAATAAAAATTAGGTTTAAATTACATATAATCATGTATTTACACAATTTTTTAAGGTGTAAATTGCCAAAATTTTCTATTTATATAAAATACATATAAGTTTTTAAAATACAAATTACTAAGAGTATTTTGATCAATATATTTATATGTAAATTACTCAAATTGTGTATTTACACAATTTTTTGAAGTGTAAATTACTTAAAATACCCATTTGTATGATTTCACGTAAACTCTTGACAATTAAAATTACTGAAACTATGATTTCATGTGTAAACTACATGAAATTGTGTATTCACGCTTTTTTTCAAAATTGCAAAATACTGAAAATACCTATTTATGTGATTTTATATAAACTTTGATTACTGAAACTATGTTCTAAGGTGTAAATTACACATAATTGATATTTACACTTTTTTTTAAGGTGTAGATTTTCGGTATTACACATATTTGATAAATCTACACATATAATCACACAATTTAATCTCCTGATGATTGGTATAATAAAGCAGCAGAAAGTGGTAATGAAGTAGTATGTTTAACCTTGGATATTGTTATGAAAAAAGAATTGGAACTAAAATTAATGAAACAAGAGCATTTAAATTATATAAAATGGCAGCAGAAAAAGATTATTTAAATGCACAATATTAACTAGGATATTGTTATGAAAAAAAAATTGGAACTGAATTTAATGAAACAAGAGCATTTGAATTATATAAATCAGCAGCAGAAAAAGGATATTTTATTGCATATACCAATTTATGTTGAAAGATATCCAATCTTTCTGAAAGGACCAATCAAACTGCCCCTAATTCATTATTTTGATAAAAATTGCTAATGCTAAATACTGAAATAATAATAATAATGAATACTCCATATTATTTGTGTACCAAAATATTAAAATTATAGCAAAAATCACTAAAAATATATAATAAATTTTTCTGGGGTAATCAAGTCATCCCAGATCCTCTTCTTAGACTTTTTTCTTTATCATTTTTTTTTTCACTTTATTGTTATTTTTTTATTTATTATTATTTTGTTTTTTTGCCAATTTCATTATCATTGTTGTTAATATTATATTTTGACTATAACAGTGTTGGCAAATGACCTTGAAATGACCTTTAAATGACCTGATTACGTCATGATTTTACTATGAATATTTCACGTGATCATATACGAAATGACCTAAGGTCATTTCAAAAAAGTGAAATGACCTCAAAATTTGCCAACACTGGACTATATTGTTTCCTTAAACATAGATACTAATCACTCATTAAATTATTAATATTGTCAAGATTATCCTGAGATAAAGTTCTTGATGTTAAATGCATTTCTAGTTAAACATTAATATCATATTGAAACAATAAATTTGAGGTTTAATTATGACTAGTTATCACTAAATTTCCAGGCAGGTCGGCAACCATTATTGGACATATGTCCACTAACTGTCCATTGACAGACCCTCTGTAGGTTGGATGTTATATTATGTACATCCATAAACCGTCAATTTCAGGTATATGGACGTTTGATCTGTTGAAAAAATTATTTAATATTAAATATTTTAATAATATTTAATGTATAAGACTAATTTTAACCCCAGTGATTTAACCAGGGTGATTTAACCTGGTAATTTTTAGGATAATTTAACTGGGTGATTTAATCTAGTAATTACATAATAATGTAATATTTCACGAGTTATTTGTTTATTTGCCATAACAACGCATTTCTTTCTTTTTCCCCTCCTTCCTTTTTTATTTTTATTACTTTTTTTCTCTTTCTCTAGGTGGGTTTCTCGTATGTCTTTTTATATTCCTTTCGATACTTCCTTCTTCCCTTCATTTCTGGTCTTTTACTCTTCTTTCAACATCAACATTTTGAACTTTAACCTTTTAACATGGCATGTTTTTATTAGCTTTATTTATTTGTTTTTGTTACTTACTAATTAACTATTTTCCTCTTTTTTTTGTAGGTTCTTTGGCATCTTACTAAATGGTAAGTTTTGGGTTTTTTTTTAGAATTTTGTAAACCTATTTTCTTTACAGAACTAACCAGTCCTTTTTTTTTTCTTTTTTGGTTGGGGTTTCTTCTTGTGTTTCTTCTTGGATTTCTTTCTGGGTTTTCTCTTATGTTTTTCTTGGGTTTCTTTTTACTCGGATTTCTTCTTGGATTTCGGTTGGACTCTTTTTGGATTTCTTTCTGGGTTTCGGTTTGTTCTTTTCTCTTTTTGGTTGGGGTTTTTTTTGGTTGGATTTTCTGCTCTTTTTCTGTTCCCTTTCTCCTTTTCTTTTCCCCTATTCTTTTTTTATTCCCTCCCTTTTTCTTGTTCTTTTTTGTTTTCCCTCCTTTTTTCGTTGTTCTCTTTGTTTCTCCTCCTTTTTAATTGTTCTCTTTAATCCTCTTTTTTTTTTTCTTTCTCGTTCTGTTCATTCCCTATTGTTTGTCATCTTTTTTTCATTTATTATTATCTTTTCATCTCCCATTATTTTCCACTTTATTTTGATTTCTACCGTTCTTCTTCATCTTTTCATTTCTTATCATCTTTTTCAACTACAATCATTATTCCATTCATCACCTTTCATCTACTATTTTTTCCATCTTTTTTGCCCCTTATGATTTTTTATTATTTCACATTTCAGAAATCCATAAACCAAATTCTGTAAAAAAAAACTGGTTTTACCTACTTCAAATAAATATTCCTGGATCTTATATTTGTGTAAATTCATATTAACAGTCTTTTTGTCTCAAATTCATGTTTCTTGATTTTTGTTATTATTGAAGCTTAATTATTCTTAATGTATTTCTAGATTTTTATTTGTGTTTCTTAATAACTTATGAAAGAAATCTTTATTGTTAAAAATCTACATTTTATTGTAAAAATAAATCATTTTTAAAAGAAATAAAAGAAAGAAATTTTTATTCAACTTTTTTTTTTAAAAAAAGATTATCAGTTATAATACGATGGAATATAAATTTTGCTAATTAGCCAATCACACAATCACGATTTAATTTAGGATGAGAAATAACCAGCATTAATTGAAATAAATTCATCCAATTAAAAATGGGGTGGTGATTTAACCTGGGTTATTTAACCCGGGCAAGTTAAATTTTAATATAAAATAAAAAATTTTTTTATAATGAGGAGTGATTTAACCCGGGGGCAAGTTAGCAAAACTCATATTTAGGGTTGTGAGAGTTACATTACATAGGTTACAATACATGTAACTTATGTTGTAAATTACATCGACCCCTTATAACTTACATCTTATATAATATTATAAAATCGATTCCTATTGGTACAAAATTAGCATATCATGTGATCAAAATTTCCTAAATAAAATTCATGAAACGAAACACTTTATCTACTTTATTTATTTTTTCAAGAAATTAATTACATTTACAATATTATATTTAAAAAATTAATCTTGAAATTCATTTAATTCTTCATCCAATAATCCTTCCAAATCTGAATAGGATTGAAAATCTAAATCAGAAAAATCAGATTTAACATCAATTTCTTGTAGAGTTTGAAATTGATTAAGGTTAATCGATTAATTAATCGACTAAGACGGTTAATCGATTAAGGTATCTCAAAAATCGGTTAATCAATTAAAATTATCAACCCATAATTCTGGTCAAATTATCTAATGCGGCCCAGAGCTGTGAATTTTGGTCACGTGTTCTCCGAACTTGGAAGAATTTGTATTAATTTTTTAATGATAATAATAATAAATAAGACTTTCCTATAACTAAATGTATGATCAAAAACAATTTGGGGCAATCTGCGGTCAAAAAAAAAAAATTTTTTAATATTTTAATATTAATCGATTATTAATCGATTAGGGCCCTTGGTTAATCGATTATTAATCGATTAAGGTTTTTTTGGTCGGTTCTAACCTCTAATTTCTTGTTCATTATTACCTTTGGCAGCTTCTCTTATAGCTTTCTTTTGCAATACTTTCTCAACCCAGCTCTCTATAGTAAGTGCCTTTTCTAATGAACGTAATATCCGCAGATTCCAAAACATATAAACAATTTTTTCTACCCGCTTTTTATGCAATTTATTTCGTAACTTTGAATGAATAAATCCAAATGTAGACCAATTTCTCTCACTGGCTGCTGAAGTTGCAGGTATGAAAAGTATCTGAATGGCTATATCACTAAGAATTGGATATCTTCCTTTCATTAAATTCCACCAGTTAACGGATTTTTGAATTACATCTCCCCACAAATGGCTATGCGCAAAACTTCCTGTTTTCCTAACATATTCAGCAAGTTCTGTTAAAACTATATCCTTATATTCTTCCCCTACTAAACTTAAAATTTCCTTTTCAATAATAGGATCAAATATGCGTGCATTAAGCCGACTACCACAATATCGTAGATCTAATTTATAAGCAACAATGACAACTGGATTGTATAAGAAGTTTTGCCACCGATTTGTGCCAAATTTTTTAACTTCTTCACGAATATTTTCAGGTAAATCAGTATTATTTCGCACATGTGCTTTAAGTTGCTGATATTCAAAATATGCAGTAGAAAGAAATGTTTCATCTCCTTCTAATTTTTTAATAAAAATAGCAAAATTTTCTAAAAAATTTTGAATTTTCCCAAGATTATTCCAAAAAGTATCACTAGAAATAAGTGACTTCATTCTATCATCAAGATTAAGATGATCCTCAGCAATAGTAGATCGAATAGCTGATTTTGTAAGGAATAACTGGTTAATACAAGAATATGAAGATCTCTATCGTGTATCGCAAGGTAAAATCAATGCGATTTCCTTTCCATATTTTTCTTTTTGTAAGCGTCAAAGTGCAGCAAGTATTACTTGGTGATTACGAAAGTAAATTGATAATTTTTTGGCTTTTTCTATTATTTCCTTTATCCATTCAATACTTATAATATCTTTCATCCATAAATGAATACCATGCGCCCAACAGCCAAGAAAGATTTTTTTGGGATATTTTTGTTTTAAGATCTTCCAAGCAGCCTTCATGTTTGACGCATTGTCTGTGATTATTGCACCAAATTTATTAATACCAGCATCTTTCATAGTAGTTTCAAGTCCTAGTGCAATATTCTCTGCAGTATGACGTTCTTCCTTAAAAGCAGTTGCTTTAAAAAATAATGGTTTTGGCGTTGAGATCATACAGTTTACAATAGAAGTTTTTTGAATATTTGACCATCCATCGCTAATTAAACAATATGTAGGACTTTCAGATAATGCTGAATTAACAACTAATTCTAAATGTTCAAATTCTTGATCTAAAAGAGTGTTTGAAAGAGTAAAATGTGAAGGAATCTTAAAAGAAGGGCAGGCTTTTTTTAAGAATAAAATAAAATCTTCATTTTCAATTACATTAAATGAAATACCCACTGAGCAAAAAGCCCGTATAAGAAGACTTTCTAAAATAATCTGATCTTTGGAAGTAAAAGCAAATTTGTATTCGTCAAATGTTTGCTGTCTTTTACATTTAGTACCTTGAGGTTGTAAAGTTTCAGTTTCTACATTTATATCTTTGCATTTTTTGATATGTTCTTTAAGACGAGAAGTATTTTTAGACCATGTACCAGAACAAGTTTTACATGCATATTTTTCTTTTTCATTAGAATCAACAGTAACTTCATACTCAGACCAAAAATTTCCTCTTATTTTCGGCATAATAAAATGGGTTAAACTTGAAGAAAAAAGATTTCGTGTAGCGTTGCTCAATTGATGATCAATTTGATCACTTTTTATTATTCAAATCACATTTTAGTAAATCATTAAATCAATTTAAAAATCAGAAATTCAGAATCAATCTAATGTTATAATTGTTATAATTTTACTTACAAGCTTAAGATTCCGAATTATTCCGATATTTTTTCCAAAACCTTCCGATGTAAGTTACATGTAACTTACAAAACTTAAAATGTAACTTACATCAAAATTTTTTAAGATACCGTAATTTTACAACCCTACTCATATTTAATATATATAAACTTATACTTACCTTAGGAATCGAACCTAAAACCTGAGGTACTTATTTTTTGTTATCTAATCACTTAAACTATTTAAACTTTTAATTTATAATATATATGTTTTTGACTTATTTAAGTTGAAACCATTAAGCTAATACTAATAAAAATGATGATCCCTTTAAAATTTCGGTTATAAGACAGTATTGTCTGGTTACTGTGCGAAATCATGATAATTATACTGATTAATAAGTTAATAGTCCATTAACAGTTATTGGACACATTTTTCATTAATTTTACATAAAAATCTTAATGTAAAATTTACGATTTTGACCGGGAATAGTCACTGGACTACCTAATAATTTAGTGATGTAAAAATCTGTATTAAAAACACAAGAAAATTCCAAAATATTGTCATGTAACCATCATGTGCATTGATCGATATTAAGGTTGCTTGCCGAAACTAGAGGGTTTTGGCAGAATGGCGTACGTGAAACTGCCAAAACTAGTTTCACAAAATCATCAAGAAATGCCGAAATTGCGAAACCTATCAAAATCGTGAAACTGCTGTAACTTGCCAAAACTGTTTCAGCGTTTCGGCAATACTTTCTATATGATTTAATTAGAGTTTCGGCATTTAAACAATTTATAAGAATAAAGACAATGTGATTTTTTGTATGTAAATATTTATTTTATAATATTTAATATTAAACTAATAAAATATACGATTAAAAATATAATAAAAATTAAAATTTAATAATATCTTTATCTTCTATGTAGGGACCTGCTTCTACCTCTTCTTCTATCTCTACTTCTGTTCCGTCTTCTATCTCTACTTCTATCTCGTCTTCTATCTCTACTTCTATCTCGTCTTCTATCTCTACTTCTTGATCTACTTCTTGATCGAGACCTAGATCGCGACCTTCTTCTTTCCCTTCACAATCTATATTCATATCAATGTCGATCATGCGCAGCATACTTCCGTCGATACTCTCATCTAAACAGATCTAAAATCCAATAAAAATATTAATGAATTGAATGAATTGCCTAAATAAAATTAATTTAAAATAATAATTAATAATAATTACTGGTTTGTAACCAGAATTTATCGTTCATATCAGCAAAACACGCTCTATCAAAACTATTTGGGCTTATAATAGGAATGTCGTCATTATTATTATTTATTATCCTACTGATTTTTTCATAACCTCGTTTGAGGGCATTCCATTTTGTTTGGCATTGCCTGGGTGTCGCTGCAAATCCTGTTGCAACAAACATCCTATTTGCTATTATTGTTCATGCATTTACATGATGACGGTTTGCAATTCTTTCGAATTGCTAATGTAAGTTTCTTCGTTCCATGATTAATTGCCTAGCTGCGTTAATCGTCCATTGGAATACTGGTGGTGGCGGTGGGACAAAAGGTACTAATGCTGCTATTTTTTATTTTTATAATTTTTTCGTAACTTGAAAATTAAATACAATTTGAAAATTAAAATACAATTTGGTTTTGAATTGCGAAAAAGAAATTCAAATTTCATAATATTTATAATAATTTTAAAATTCGTTATAATGTTTAAAACATGAACTGATGAACATAATAACATTCTACATAATTAAAGTATTTGTAACAAAATAAACACAGTTTTGATTCTAATGTAATAAATTTAATTAACGCAGTTCTAAATTTTTTTTTGTAACGCAGTTCTTAAAATTTATTGATCTAATGTAATAAATTTAATTAACGAAGTCCTTAAAACTTATTGATTCTAATATAATATGCTTATCCTTATTCCTTAATTAAATTGCACTATTTTTAAAATATAATATGCTTATCCTTGAATATATAAGGATTTTTTATATGGAATCTTTAAAGAATCTTTAAGGATCTGTAAACTTATAGATTCCTTAAGGGTATTTTACAAATCAGTATAGATTTTTAAAGAATCCATAAAATTACAGATCCTTAAGGATTCTAAAGCAATTTATGGAATCTTTAAGGATCCATATTCCAAAAAATTTACTGATGATCGAATTAAAGGCCTTAGAAATGTCTTGAGAAACAATCCATAATTCTTGGTCATCAATTTTATTAAAATGGCGCTGGTGAACAATAGCATCAAGCATCTTAATAGGAATGTCAGTACAACCGCCTGGCAATCCAGCAAAATTACCACTTTAGAGCACTTGATTATCAGTTAGGATTTTTGAAAGTCAAGTTGTAATGACCTTAACCACACATTTTCGTATAGTTCTAACAAAGTGATAGGTCACGTATTCTTTAATTAAGCGTCAAATTCATGAGGCCTTGGAATAGAATAAACAAATACTTCACGCCAATCAGCAGGAATATCACCATGATGAATTAGACAAGCATTAGCTAAAACAGGGGACAAATTGAAAGCTTCTCCAGTTAAGTGTTTGAGCATCTCATAAGAGATCTTAGAAGGGCCAGAGGCTTTATTATTAGACATACTTTGCTGAAACTTGGAGTTTACAATCGATATTGATTAGATATCGCAATGATATCATTACGATATCATTACGATATTTTGATAAAAAATAGATTCAACATCGTTAAGTTAGTCGTATCTGTATTTAATCGACATTGATTAGTTCTATATCTCTGCGATATCGCTGCGATCATTATGCGATGTAAATATTATCACGTAACCACATCGTAGTGATGTCGTATTAACATTGAATTAATATTACAAAAATATTTGACATTTATTTGATATCGTAACCATGTCGTAGTGATAGGACCCCGGATA